GGAAGTGATAAATTTTAATAAACTGATGGGGTAAATAATCTTTAGGTTTGTCCTTGTTAAAAATTAACCTTTATTTTGTTGATGAGCATGGTGTCTGGGCCAACTTGTTTGCACCTCGACTAATTCCATAGGGAATCTGTTTTCCACCAATAAGTACCAATTAACTCTGTCCAAGAAGGCTTGGATAAGTGGGAAGAAATCACCTAGTGTTTTTGGCCTTGGCTTGAATTTGAACCTAAGACCTCCATGTTTTCAACCTACTTTATTGACCACTAATCCTTTTATCTCAAACCTTCCAATTATCCACAACCATTTTGGTTCCTAACTATGAACTATCAGCATTTGATATCAATTGATTTAAGTTATCACTTTAACCCAACTGAGGCCATATGGAATGCCTTGAGTTTAGTTTAGTATGTTAGAAAGCTTTGATAGTTAGGTTCTCTCTTAATAATCAATCAATTTTTTGTCTACCGCGATTGTTAAGTATTACTGAATGAAATGTATTTGATTTATCCATTATTGCAGCTAAAGGTTGTAAATGATGAAGATCGATTTTAGTGGACTTGAACCAAGGGCCCCACTTCGAGGGGAGTCTTCTGAGCTGTTTGATGGAATTTCGAATTCTCCATCATTCCATCTTCCTAATACTGCTAATGTGAGTCTGACTATTTCTCTGTTGTGTCCAATTATATTCAGTTAATTGGGGATCTATCGAGTCCTAATTCTCTAATTATGTTATACTTTTTTTCCTCTGTGTTCTTTTAGTTTGATGGTTTTCAAAAAGAAGCAATCCAAATGGTGAAGCCCGCAAAGGGAACCACAACCCTTGCTTTCATTTTTAAAGGAGGTGTCATGGTTGCTGCTGATTCTCGGGCTAGCATGGGAGGATATATATGTAAACCCTTTTGCTCATTATTGTCTTTATGATAAACAATGTGAAGAAATTCCTCATTTACTTATCAACTCTTCTACTGATATGAACATCCATTTGTCTATGGTTCTTGTGTTGTGACCTTGCTGGCAAGAGAACTTACTACCCTCTGTCCCTGCCTAATGACTTGATATAACCATATTCAGTGGCTCATGGGACATGCAAGACCTCATTGTTTTCATGATTGAGTTTTTTTGGGTGCAAGTGAAGCTATATTTTCCCGGTTTGAGCATAAAATGTTATTGTTTTTAAAAGTGTCTACGTTCTACAAAATTTTCCTCTGTGCTGTGTCAGTGTCACTATAGTTATTGGTATAGTGACTAGAACTTGGAATTGGTACCTTAAGCAGGGTGTTTGGATAAAATAGACATAATCTGATTTCTTAATGATCAGAAAAAGAAAGTCTGATTTATTGGGTACCTGAAATGTAAACTTTAATTAACTTCAATTTTTAAATGGTTGTGTTATGGACTTACGCTATACAAGACTTGTATATGTTTTAGTCTTGGGTGTGTCATATTTGACTGTGAAGTTCTTCACTAGAGGAATGTGAATTCCAAATTTTAGGTAATAACAAATACTGTTTAAGTGTTATTCCTTGATCTATTGCAGCTCTTTTGACTTGGCCTGTCCTTTTAAGATGTGTCTTCCTTTCCTTGTAATATTTTGCAGCATCTCAATCTGTGAAGAAAATCATTGAAATTAATCCCTATATGCTTGGCACAATGGCTGGTGGGGCTGCTGACTGCCAATTCTGGCATAGAAACCTGGGAATCAAGGTATTTGGTTATAAACTACTTATGCTTCCTTTTCCGAGTTGCTGTATTTACCCATTTTGCCAGGGGAGTACTTGATATAAATCAATTCTGGACCTCTACATTACAGAGACCCTGTATTCTAGAGAATTTTAATGCTTCCGACTGCATATATTTATTTAGGATGGTTGTGTACTGCTCTCTTCACTCAACAGTAAAAAAAAGAGAAAGGAAAAAGGAGAGTATAAGCTAATAATAAGAACGGAAATATGACCACATTGAAGGGGTAAAAATAAAGAAATGACTAAAAATAAGTAGAGATGTTAGCGAACTGGTTCTTTGAAAGTCTCTTTCCGGTTAGTTTCTTCAAGTCTATGCCCCCATCTGTTGACCATATTTCACTCTGCAGATTAAGGTCTCCTGAAGTTAATGTCTAATTGTGCTTATTCAAAAGATAATAAAAAGGGTGGGGGATGGGGAGGGGACATGCATATCCTCTAGCCATGACCTATTTGCAGAAGAGAGTTCTGAACCTTTTATTTTATTTTCATAAGAGGTAGTAGTAAGGATTTTGGCTTCATGTACTTTGGAAGAGTTGGTCACCTGTTTCTTTTTCTGATTCAGTGCCGTCTTCATGAACTGGCAAACAAAAGGAGAATTTCAGTTACTGGAGCTTCAAAGCTGCTGGCAAACATTTTATATTCTTACCGTGGAATGGGTTTGTCTGTTGGAACCATGATTGCTGGTTGGGATGAGAAGGTAGTGAAAGATGGATGCTGGTAAAGTTTGCAAAATTTCAAATTCCCTTTTTCTTACTAATATAAAAGCTTGATTTCGCAGGGTCCAGGACTATACTATGTGGATAGTGAGGGAGGACGGCTTAAAGGAAACAGATTCTCTGTTGGATCTGGTTCTCCTTATGCTTATGGTGTTTTGGATAATGGGTGTGTGTTCTCTTCCACATTTTCCTATCAGCATTTCCATGGTTTCCCTTGTGTGTACTTGATAATGGTTGTTAACTAGAATTGTCATATCTGTATGACAAAGGTGACTGACTTTCAGACATCATATTAGGCAGCCTTTCGTATATGGCTTGTGCATATTGAAGTGCAAAAGACTGCATTCACGAGATCAGATGCATTTACCTGTTGGACATACTAGACTTCAGTGTCTTCTCAAAATGAGAAAGTTGTGTTGTGCCCCTAAGGTCTACAACATGTTCAATACGCAGGAGGGTGGGGTGGGGGGTTGCAGACGTTTCAAAGTGACTCCATAGTTTATTGTGCTGATCACTTTTGCAGCTTAAAACTCCTCGTGCTTATGACACACTTTTAACTTCAGGAAACCACTGAACTCTGCGTCCCATCTCTAATTCTAATTTTCCTCCCTATGCTGTTTCACTCTAGGTACCGATATGATCTGTCTGTGGAAGAAGCAGCCGAGTTGGCTAGACGAGCAATTTATCATGCTACATTCCGTGATGGAGCTAGTGGAGGTGTTGCTAGTGGTATGTTTCATGCATCTCATCCATAAAAAAGAGGAAATGCAATATTTGTTGGCTTTCCCCGTCTCTCTGTTGTATATTCGTTCCATGGTCTCTGTGTATTTGTCATTAACTCGTGGATTGTTTCAGTTTATCATGTCGGACCAAATGGATGGAAGAAGCTATCAGGTGACGATGTTGGAGAACTCCACTACCACTACTATCCCGTCGAAGTGGCAGCTGTGGAGCAGGAAATGGCTGAAGTTCCAGTGGCCTAAGGAAAAACAAAACCAAGATCAAATATGTGCTCATCTTCGCAAGTTAAAGCGACTGTTTAATTTTCTTCTGAGACTATTTTGTGGTCTTGCAATCTGTAAAACCGTAAAAACTTATCTACACCATATGTTTAAACTTTAAACCGAGCCAATAGATGCAAGGCTATGTGTGTTCCATTCATCACTTAAGTGTGTTTGGTATGGACAAAATGTTTTCCAATTTTTTCATGTTTTGTTGGCTTAAATGTTTGGAAAATGATTTTCAAATCAACTCATTTTCCTCAAATTTAAGGAAAATGACTTTTCTTTCAAAATTAAGGAAAACATGTTTTAAAACTTTATTTCATCCTTTAATTTTTTTTCTTACTCTACCCATATGTAGTGGCGGAGCTATGATTTTTAATAAGAAGGGGTTCAAAATCTGAAGTACTTAACACACGAACTAATCGATGGGGATTTGATAGTTACTATATATACATAAAAAATAATTTTATCCGTGCTAAAATAGTACTCCCTCCGTTTTAAAAGAATGACCTAGTTTCTTTTTTAGTCTGTTTAAAAAAGAATGACCTTTTCCTTTTTTGGCAACACTTTAATTTCAATTTTTCACGTGACATGTTTAAGGCCACAAGATTAAAGGGCATTTTGGTACATTTGACATAACTTTAATTTAGAACCACAAGATTAAAAAGTATTTTTTTTTTCTTAAACTCTGTTTCAAGTCAAATTTGGTCATTCTTTTTTAAACGGAAAGAGTAATATTTTTTGCCAAAGGGGGTTCGGATGAACCCCTAGCAGAAGGTTGGCTCCTCCCCTGCACATACGTACCCGACCCTCCCCATTCAAAAAAAACAATAAAATTATTTTCAATTTTCTTGTTTTTTTAAATTTCAAATATATTTTTACCCCTACCACCAAATCAGCCCCCCTCCCCATCTCAGACCAAAAAAATATAATTTTTAAATTTTTTTTTCAAATTTTAAGATTTTTTTTTTTTACTTCACCACCCCTACTCCCTACCCCCTTCTCCCTAAAAAAAAAATTGCTTTAGAAAAATACGACAATTTTTTTTAAAAATTTTTAACCCCTTCCCCCTACCCCCAATTGTTAGATGACAGTAAAAAGGAATGGAGAGAGAAGTAACAATAAAAATACATAATTTTTTTATATTATACTTTAGGGGTCGTTTGATTTGAATTCAAGTTATGATGAGATAAATTATGATGGAATTAGTTATGATGAGATAAGTTATGATGAAATTATTTTTTATTGAGTGTTTGGTTTGTTGTATTCAAAATAATAAATTTTAAGAACAATTTATTTATTTACAAAAATGCCCTTCATGAATGTAAAAAGTGACGTAACAAAAGGATTGAAAGAGACATTTTTGTCATTTACCTATTTTATCCCGGGATTACTATACCAGCCAAGGGGAGAGATAACTTATCTCGATATTAATTATTAATCCCAAAATAAATTATCCCAAACTTGTCAACCAAACAACAAATTAAGTGATACTATAATTTAATCCAGGAATATTTGGTATCCTTCACCCCAAACGAGTATCTTGTTTCATCAGATCTGATTGTCTCTCTCTTTTATACATATGTATGTATCTCCTTCATCTCTTTTTGGTTCTTCGTTTAATCTTACCTCTTGCTCGAATTGTGCAACTTCGGTATGTTTTCGTAATTGAATTTGGGGTTTTTTTGGTTCTTTGGAGGCTCTGCCCTTGGCAGGGATGAGCTCGCTATCTTCTGTTTGTTGTGGTTCTATAATTATCTGATTGATATGGAGTTCAATTGATTAACTTGAGTGTATATTGTATAGGCATTTGGTTTAAGCTAAAGTTGATTTCGACAATGCAAACTTCAGCCTCATCACTACAAAGCTTATTCTGGGGGAAGAATCTCAGCTATGCACCATATACTTTTAGCAGAACGCTAGATTTCATACCTGCTATGACATCTCCTCCATTAGGTATGTCTGATATAAAATATATTACTAGCATTTATCTTCTCTGTAGGCAATATGAATATGCTTTTCTTTTTAACTGTACAGGACCTCAGAGGCTATCCGTACAATGTGGAGTTGGGTTCCGCCCTTGCATTGACATACACAAGGTATACCTGTGTTTTTTTTTTATGTTTTCCAGTGTTTGAGCTATTTATACCTTTCGAAGTTTTGTGAATACTTATGCAATGCTTGGTGCCCTTAGTAGTAACTTGAGATTATGTATTTGAGAAGTTTGACAAACAGTTCACTGCATTTATGGATGGGGCTATGATATTATATGAGTATAATGTTGTTCTTTATCTTTTCCACCTTGTTGTGCCATAGAAAATGACTTTTAGTACATCAGTGCCAAGTATATGTGTATACCATAAACCAGGTAGTGAAGAACTAATATGTATTTGGTAGCATAGAAAGAATTAAAAACAAGAAGAAAAGGTTCAATTACTGTTGGTGTTCATTCAGTATTTAATAGCATTTCATTTGGGAAGTTGAATCAAATAGGTAAGTAACAAAGAGGGGAGCAAACTGTTTTTCTTTATCTAATTGCCTTTCAAGGTTAAAGAGTTTTGAGCTTGTTTCATATGCTTGGGAGATGCATTTCGCTAGGTGCTAACATAACATATTTGTAGATAGTCGGAAGATTTTACCTGAAAATTTCATTTTTTTTAGGGAAAAGTGAAGCAAATTGTTGGATCAACTCTTCGAGATTCTAAGGAGGCAGATACAAGCCTGGTAACTAACTTTGAATCTGATAAATCGGCTGCAGAATATGCAAAGCTTTACAGAGATGACGGCCTTGTAGGTGGCCATGTGATTATGCTTGGTGCTGACCCCTTGAGCATAGCTGCTGCTACTGAAGCATTACATGCTTACCCTGGTAGGCACTGGTCCTTATCTAATAAGTTCTTTTATGGTGGTTTTCATTTTTCTTGGCATACCAATGCTTCTCGTCATTCTCTCTTCCACAACACAGTATGCTATTACCTGATCTATCAGCTGTTGGCCATTTTTTATAGCTTCATTTGGATCTGTTTGCTGAAAATTTATATTACTAGACACAGCTGTTATGATAAAGTGTATACATAGTTGATACGTCTCAACTTACAGATTTTTCCCTCTGGTGATATCCTTCGAGGGTGAAACATCTAGGTGGGTTGCAAGTTGGAGGGGGAATCAAAACTGAAAATGCTTTGAGTTACATTGAAGAAGGAGCCAGCCATGTCATTGTCACATCGGTATGTATTCATGATTAATTTCTTGTGAAGTAGCAACTTTTTTTGCCATATTTTTCATGTTTCAACTTCTGAGGATATCTTACTGTCATCTTAACAATTATTTAGTATTGGACCTTAATTGAGTGGCACAGTTACCAAGGATACTTTCACATAACACCACCACCACCCTCTCTAAGGATATCTCATATTAAGAGATTTGAATACATAATACCTCTTTATATTTTTTTGTGATATTGTTGAAACCCCTAATTTATTGTACATTGAATGTCCTACATTAGGCTCTAGGTCCATTTTCTTATCACCTTAAACGGTAAATGGTTAGTATAAGTAGAAAAAATCAACCTTGATAGAGCTGAATGATATGGCAGATTCATCTAGCTGAACCAACTAATATGGGATTGAGGCCTAGTAGATCTATTGGTTGCTTATTTCATGAGAATAGAAGTCGTTAACGGCCTACTAGACATCCATGGTTTAAACTGATTCTTCTCTCCTTTTTGTTTTTTAAGTTCTCGGGTACGCCAATGAGAGACTGGGAAGGGGAGCAACAGGTATTAAGTTGAACAGTTGCCTACAATAGGGAAAGTGGAGTGGCTAATACTTTCCCATCTTTACTCCTTATCATAATTACTTAATTCAATAAACCACCAATCAAAAAAAGTACTTAATTTAAGTTTCAAAAAAGAAAAAGAAAAGAGTACTTAATTCAATAAACAAAGCAACTTGATGAACAGGGAACAATTTGTAAACCATCTGATTGTTGTCAGCAAAACTTGTTGTCTACTAAAAACCAGATAAAAGTTCCTGGATATGAGCTCAGAACAGAATAGACCTTAGCTGCTGTAGCAACAAAGTAGTGAAACAATGAATGATTCTGAGCTTTCAAGATGATTCGAAGGTTTCAGAATAGGCATTAACTTGGTTCTTCTTAAATTTGTTAAACTCCTCAAAATCTGTTTTCCCAATATTTGCATAAAAAAACCATGAAATGCCTCACCTAATTTCATCATACAGAACAATGAAAATAATCCAAAAATGTGATAACTTATGATTCTAGATGAGTGGCCTTCTAGGCCCTCTCCAAAATAATTATCCTACTTGATCTTCTTTATCTGATACTTATTGTCGATATTGCAGTATGTCTTTAACAATGGGCAAATGGACCTTGAGAGACTGAAAGAACTTTCTTCTCTCGTTGGAAGAAAGAGGCTTGTTTTGGATCTTAGTTGCCGTAAAAAGGTATTCTCTCTTTCAATGAAATTACCTTTCATAAAAAAACTTTTAAGTTAAAAAGATATCCACATTTTTAGTGCTCCTAGAAAGAGAAGTTCTGATTAGTGTGGAAGACTTTCTCGTCTAAAATTGGTTAGGGAATGAATAGATGAATAAATTTGTAAAATTAGACTCAGTTACTGCTCTTCCGCTCTTCCTTTCTTCTGCCATGAGAGTTTAATCCATGACTTGAAACAACATACAGGAGGGTGAGTATGTCATTGTCACAGACAGATGGCAGAAGTTCAGTGACGTACATCTCAATGAGAAAGTCCTGAATTTTCTTGCAGAGTACGCTGATGAGTTTCTGGTTCATGGTGTTGATGTTGAAGGCAAAAAGTTAGTCCCTATACTTTGTCCTTTTAATTATCTTTGTAGAGATTGTGAGTTGTGACAACAATTAACACAATTGTTTTAATGAAAAGTTCTCTTCAAGTCTGATCTATTATCTAGTGAACAGGCTTTATGTCTCTTTCAAAATTTCACAATGCCAATGACTGAACTAGGTAATCCCTTGACGGTTAATCCATAACAACAGGTGTTTGGAGAGGGTAGAATGTACACTGACCTTACCCCTGCATCAGTGGTAGAGAGACTGTTTCCGATAGACCCTCGGCTCAAGGAAGAAACAGTCCAAAGTAGTCCGGGAAAAGAAATTTGCATTATACCCCATGACATAGACAACTAGGTTCTAGGCCAACAAGTGTCCCAATTGCTTGCTTATGAAAAATGAAAATTGTTAAAATAGAAATAAGTATTTCCTACTTAGAATAGGAATAGGAATAAGAATAGGAATCCTAGTTGGAAAAGGATTCCAATGTAGTGTCTATAAATAGGATCTCAATGTAACTAATTAAAAACAACACAATAATTCAATAATATTCTTTTCCAATATTTCTCACATGGTATCAGAGCAGGGCCTGTCTCACTCGATGTTGGGACCCCCAAAATCAAAAATTGCCCACGCACCAGATGCTAAGCACTGGGCGTGAGGTGGGGTGTTAAAGAATGACAAAAGTCCCACATCGGTGGTTAATGAGATGGGTAGACTCCTTATAAGGTTTGGACAATCTTCCTCCCTTTGAGTTATCTTTTGGGGTGTGAGTTGGGTCTAAGACCTAATTTAACAGACATGAGATTCTTAAATATTGCTAGATCAAAACTGACACTTTGAAAATCAAGATTAATAAGCTTCTCGAACCCTTTGAAATCGGGTGGAGGGTAGAACAAGCACGTAGGCCATGAGCATATCATTGGATATACAGACGCTGATTGGGCAGGATCACCCTCTGACAGACGTTCGACATCCGGATATTGTGTTTTAGTAGGAGGTAATTTGGTGTCGTGGAAGAGTAAGAAACAGAATGTGGTTGCTCGATCTAGTGCAGAATCAGAATATCGAGCAATGGCGACAGCAACTTGTGAGCTAGTTTGGATCAAACAGTTGCTGGGAGAACTAAAATTTGGCAAAATTGATCAGATGGAACTTGTGTGTGATAATCAAGCGGCTCTTCATATCGCATCAAATCCAGTGTTTCATGAAAGGACTAAGCACATTGAGATTGACTGTCACTTTGTCAGAGAAAAGATACTCTCGGGAGATATTGTTACGAAATTTGTGAAGTCAAATGATCAACTTGCAGATATCTTCACCAAATCCCTCACATGTCCTCGTATTAATTACATCTGTAACAAGCTAGGTACATATGATTTGTATGCACCAGCTTGAGGGGGAGTGTTAAAATAGAAATAAGTATTTCCTACTTAGAATAGGAATAGGAATAAGAATAGGAATCCTAGTTGGAAAAGGATTCCAATGTAGTGTCTATAAATAGGATCTCAATGTAACTAATTAAAAACAACACAATAATTCAATAATATTCTTTTCCAATATTTCTCACAAAAATAAAAAGAATGAAAAATTGCAATTTTGTTGCAATTCAAAATAACTTATTGCTCTGTCAGTCCAATAAAGTAACTCTTTTTAGCATACTGTGCTGGCATAAATGTACTACAAATGCACTAGCTGGTTGAGGTCTGACCTTATATTTTATATTTTCTTGACTTGCATTGAGTTACTCCCCTTTCTATTAATAGCTTGTATCATTAACTAGACTGATAATTTCCCGTTGACTTAATAAAAATATCAGCTGTTGCTGAACAGCTAAAGGAAAGATCTTATGTGGCTTGTATTCTTTTTCTGCAGCATTCTCAAAATATAGTATAAGTTTCTCGTGAGAGATTGTAGTTAAAGAGAAACATAATTTGGATATTCATATTAATCATGTTAATCTGACATATGGTTCATAAATTATCTGCTTATCGAGAAATCTGTCATATGCTTCATACATGATCTGCTGATAAATAAATCTGACATGTATGGTCCTTGTGTAACACAGGCTGGGAATAGATGAGGAGCTTGTAGCATTGCTTGGAAAGTATTCCCCCGTAAGTGGCATACACGATTATTAACCTATGTTCCTTATCAAAAAAAAAAAAAAAAAAACTATGTTTATATTACTCCCCTTTGTTTCAATTTGTTTGTCTTACTTTCCTTTTTAGTCCATTTCATAAAGATTGCCTCTTTTCTTGTTTGGCAACTCTTCGATTTCAACTTTCCACATGACATGTTTAAAACCATAAGATTCAAAAGTCTAAACTCCGTGTCAAGTCAAAACTAGACAAACAAATTGAATCGGAGGGAGTACTATTTTTCTCTCACTATTGTGGCTTCTCATTCAAATGAGGGACAAAATGCTTCTCTGCCAACATTCATGTTTTCTTGTTTTATCTCGAATGCTGAATGAGCATCGATCTATTTATAAGCTTTGAGGGATTATACGATGACCTGGTTATTCGAGTCAAATCGAGTTCTTTACAAGCTTAAAAGAACGTGGCAAAAATTAGGGGATGTTTTGAATGTGTATGCACTGCATGTTTTGGCAGTAAACCACTTGGCTAAGATGAAACATTAATACATTATCATGCAATTTGGCGATAGTACACTTCTTATGTTGCTCGGACTCTTCAAAAATATTGATGGGTGTGTTGGATCATCTAGAGGCTATGCATTTTCGAGGATCTTACACAGGTGCGGCAACATAGTTGGGGGGTCTGAGCAACATAAGTGTTTAGGTCCCTGAATGTATAATTCCTTTAATATAAGAGGTGACCGACATTTTATCTCCATGTGGCTCACAGATTCCTGTAACATATGCTGGTGGTGTCACTGTGATGGCTGATCTTGAGAAGATCAAAGTCGCAGGGATGGGGCATGTGGATGTGACAGTGGGCAGCGCTTTGGATATTTTCGGAGGTAACTTGGCATACAAAGACGTTGTGGCTTGGCATTCTCTGCAAGATTCTATTGCAGTTTAAGCCATTCTTAACTTCCCATTGTTTGTTCAAGTTTTTTGAATCATAGCTGATGGAGTAATGTTCAGATGTTACATGAATCTTGACCTCAGATTCATTTTGCCTAGACTCTCGCGTAGTTTCACCACCTATTTTATGATATTTTCTATTTAACATCTCGATGTTGGTTGCATTAGCGTCAAATTACTCAATACTTGTGCTGGTAGTAAGTAGCAGATGCTTGGTGGAGTAGTCGAGGTGTGCCCAACCTGACTTAACAGTCAAAAAAGAATTCGGTTCTGAGTTTGATTTGGGATTAGACATGAGAACATAACAAGAACAAAATGGGGGGTGGGGGTAATATTCTCTTTAAAATGTTCAATTAGTTAGTAATAAAACTAAGTGGAAGATTGGTATATTTCTAGTGTTGATAAATAAGTCTAAGTTTTTTTATAGTGAAAAAAACAGGTATTTTATGTTCCTCTTGCCATTAATAATTTATTTATTTATTTTAGCTTTTTTATGTGCTTTTAGGGCTCTAATAAGAGTGTAGATTTGTTGAAGTGGAATATATTCATTTATCCTCACAACTAAGTTTATATTCATTCTAATCCATCAAAAAGTTGAAGCATAAAAAAATGTCAAATAAAATCCATTTGGGAAAATGGTAGGGCCGCCTTTTTTTCCAAGTCTTTTATATACTTGATACTTGTTTGATCTTAATATATTCTCACTTTCATAAGGTTGCACATTCATACATATCAAAACAGCAAGAATTATTACTACTACTGTGCTTTGATCCCATCAATTGAACTATATGAATTTTCACTACTCTTGTCATTCCACTTAAGAATATCTAGTCAACAAACAATGTCAAGAGTGCATGTTGACTTTATTCTTATCTCATAGAGATAGAGAGGTTTTTGATTGATCTTTGATTTAAATAAAGCATTTTCAAATCGATTGAAAAAAGGAATACAATTATGAGAGTAGTAACCAAAAAAAATTGAAATGGAGAGCAAAACAAAATATACCGCAGAAAGAACAGTAACGGCAAGGAAATAATGTAATAACGAAACACGAAATAATACAAATTATAATTGAAATTGTAAAATAAAAAACGACAAAATATTGCTACTATTTCTGATAAGAAAGAAGGTTCAAGTACGACCATCAATTCAAGAATGTCTTGGTCCAGACTAGTAAAAAGAAATATGTGTGTTAAAAGGAGATGAAGTAGAGTTAAAATTACGCAGAAGGAAGTAAGTTATGTATTGTAAAGCATAATTTATAGATGTTAAACTTTTTTACTTCTTTAATTTTTATTATAGATTCACTTATTGAAAATCCTGACTCCATCACACACCGTAATAATTAAACATTGTGGGACATGATGTTTGGCAATGTACTCAACAAGATGCATAGATTAGGTTTGACTTGCTGCTGCTGCTGCTAATGATGAATATGGTAATGATTATGAATTATGATCAACACACATGTGACATCATAATAAATAGGCCTACTATATTTATTAACTTATATATTACAACTAGTTGATTTTACTCATATGGATATGCAAGGATTGAAGGGGATAAAAGGTGCATAAAAGTATTAGTTAATTTGGCTTTGACTAATATTTATATTTTCTAATTTTAGGTGTATATAGTTAGATATTTTTAACTTGTATATAATTGAACAAATAGACACACACGTCTTACATGACAACTGTGGTCTTACATAACGTCTTATGTGAATTATGTCACATAAAACGTGTATGTACTTTTTCAGTTTTACACAAATTTAAGTCCTTACTTGTGCACATTCAAAGTTAGAGGACACAAAATCAGCTAAGGCCAAATTAAAAGACATGTTTATATATTATGCCTAAAAAATATTTTCTAATAATTATAGTCACACAAGTATTTATTATTCTATTTTACTATCATAAATTTTAAAAGTATTATAACTATATAAGTTTACGTAATGACATGTTTAAATCACAAATTTCAAAATACTCCATTTTTTGCTTAAACTTTATTTATAATCGAGTTAAACTTTATCACATAAATTAAAACAAAATGGATAACATATTAAAATTTCTGCATGAGATAGAACCCTAGCACATTATACTAAGAAACATTTGTGGTTTCCAAAGTTATGGTCAAAAAAAAATATGGTGATTAGTCAAAGTAATTAGTAGTATTTTAATTAATTAACATAGGAGAATGAGAAGAGTCAGTATTATAAGTTCCTAATGATGTACAGATAATATACATAATGCATGTAAAAACAAAGACCACACTGCCCTAAAATCACCAAAGTGGGAGGCACCATCAAAGGAAAAAAAAAATGTTCTCTTAGAATAATGAAAACAAAAAAGTCAGCTTTCTAGTTGACTTACCCTAGAAAGTCTGGCAAATTTTAGAGGAACCAAAGGGAATCCTATCCTCATAC